CCCCAAAACCCCAAAACCCCAAAACCCCGACAAAAAAGATAGTTATTGAAAATTAGAACTATTACTGAGCCAAATCCTGCTCTTGGTCTTGCTCCTGGAAGGACTGCCTTCGAGAGGTAGCTTTCTTAACAAAATGTCTAGTCGCCCTGGTCTTCAATTCCTTCTGCTTTTCCATCTTTTTGGCCTCAATTTCGACTCTTTTGGCTTCCCTTTCCTTCTGCTCTTTTTCTTGAATTCTTTGTTTCTCCTCTCTGATGCGATCTCTTCTCTTAAGCTTCCAAATATTCTTGTTCTTGTTCCTTCGTGTCCTAAATATGGGGAAACAAGTTGTAGAAACTGGCCGAGGTTCCCCAATGAAGGTCATGTATTTGGCATAAAGAAAGTCAAGAGTATTTTTATAAGCATCGAAAGAAGTAGCGTCTTGTAATTCACTCTTATCTTTGATCCTTTTCCTCTTCTTGTATCTCCTGCGTTTCTTCTGAGGAGTATGGAGCAGCGGGATCTCACAGTTATTTGTATATTCTGAATCTACTATCTGCTGGTTCAGCAGATTTCTCAGGAGAATTCAACCCAGCTCTTTTCATATATGCCTTTTTAGCAGAATCTGTTACAAATCGTGAGGCTTTGTAGTAATCAGTAAGTTTACTCTGAGAATACTTGTATTTTTGAATTTCCTCACTGAAAGAGTCCTCGTTGCTCTCGTTGTCTGAATCTGGCAGATAGACCTTGCGATAGTTCTCATAGCTATTTGATATAGCTTTACTGGTGTTCCCGATCCTGAGTTTTTGTTCAATAAGTTTGATATAGGCAACCAACCAGCTCTGTTGATTGGCTATCTCGAATTCATCAAATTTAAGAATGCTTTTAGGTCCAGGTTTTGTTTTAGGTAAACTCTTGTTGAACTTCTCCAAGTCTTCAATCATCTTTGCTTTCAGTGAGGCTCACTTTCTTGAGATCTGGTAGTTATCTTTATCAAGGAGTAGAGTGTTCGTTCTGATCAGGTTCCAATCTGTAAAACCAAAAATATATAAAGCTTTGAGAAGCTGATGGGTCTCTAGTAGGTTCCAACTATCCTTTCTCCTCTTGAATTTTGACAACAAATCAGAGCTCTCTTGAAGATTTTGAGTGTTTTTAGAGGTCTTTTGAATCTTTTTACTGTTATTATAATTCCCCGGTTGTATACGAGGCTTTGAAATTTTAAGATAAGGCTTTGCATTCTCAAAGTAGATCGAGCTAGTAACACTTCTCAAGGTCCTCATTAACACAATTCAAAAGCTCTTCTTCATCGAATGATTGCTTCAGTGGTCAAGATCCTTCCTCTACTCTCATCAGTAGTGACTTAATCTCATAAGGATCAGTTCAGGTTTTCTTATAATATTTTATTCTTCCGTGGTCATCAGCCAGGAGTGCCTCTACGAGACTATCTGTGGAATCTATCAATGGGCTTGAGTTTGAGACACTCGCTAGGTCATCACAGAGGTCATTAAAACTGAGTAAACTCTTTGCAAATATCCTCGTCTTCAATATTGTCAGCATACACTTGAAGTCTCTGCTGTAACCGATGCTGATGATGTGCAAGAAATTCATGGTCAAACTGCTTCTGGATGCAGTGCTTGAAGTCATCAGTCCCATAAAACTCTTGCTGGAGGTCTTTCTCACCATCCTCAAGGATCTGGCGACATCTTTCGCCTGTCATGCCAGGATGGATCTCTGAAGCGATTTTATCAAAATCTAGGTGAGGGTTAAGGTCAAATTCTTCATATCATTGTGTAATCATCCTAATCAGAGCTTGAAGCTTATGCTTCTCTGTATAAATCTGCAGTCGTTTGTTCAGCTTTTTGCTGACTATCACCTTAATTCCCTCAAGCTCATCTTTATTCTCAGGGAGATGGGCATCTCGATAGGGAACTTTGGGAAAACCGGGATCAAATTTAACCTTCTTGCTCATTTTTATAAAATATTTACTAATTTGTTCTATAAATAAGTAAATCTTTGGGGTTTTGGGGTTTTGGGGTTTTGGGG